AGACAGCTGCAACTGGAGTAAAACTTGCTGCGAAGGGTACTGCACGGCGTACACGGATGGCACGTGCGTATGCGTCGGAGAAGGCGGCACTTGTGGGCTCCAGCACGGCTGCTGCCCTAACTACAAATGCGACGGCTACTTTTCCGGCACCTGCATCTCCCGGAGCCAAGGCCTGCAGCTTTCTGCTGCCATAACTACGACGTCGTCTTAAACCATATCATATATATCTGCTGGCCGCATATATACTACGACGTGTAGTATTGATGCATGCGTGCATGAAGCCCTACTTGCTAATCTGTGTGTGTATCTTTTCTATGTATATGTAATGAAAAATAAAACCAATAAGTTTTTCACTTTTGATCAAAATTAAGGTTTTGACTTTTGAACTACTCGCATTCTGTGTTTTGTGGTTATTGAAACTCTCAACTTTTCAAAAAAATCTTTCTTTCTTGTCTACAAAATCTTTTTTCTATTAAAAAATTGCTTTTACTATTATTAATTTTTAACTTACCTATCATATCATACCTTTTTACTAATAATCTACCTATCACATTTTATTTTTTTATCTATAACATCAAGGGTATTTTTGGAAAGTCAAAACAAAATTATCTTTTCCTTAAATTTCTTAAAATTCAAAACAGAAATATCTTTATGAGACGGAGGGAATATATGTGCATGAGTAATGCTAGAGTTGCAAACAACTTTGACACAAATTACACAAACTTGTTATTTGTGTACTTTTCCAAGTGAATAAAATTATTTTAGATAATTTAAAAATAAAAATTTACATACATAAATGGTAAGTTTGTCCCACTCAATCTTATTTTGACATAAAACATACAGAGTATTTGAATATTAGCTTAAAATAAAACCAAAAAAAATATGTAACATTATTATACTTTCTTCGTCCCAGAAAAGTTTTCTTTTATTCATTTTTTTGGTCAAATTTGACTTGATACAGTTTATAAACATACACTGATACTGTGATACACAAGACATGCACACATAATCAACTCAGAGAGAAAAATATTCTTGGTGCATATTTGTAAACGCAAATTATTATACGCACCTAAAGTTAATGGTGGACCTTCATATATATGGGAGAAAAAATCAAGTGTAAAAATAAACATTTTTTAAAAAGTCTATGGCTCATTGAATTTATTCTCAATTTATATATGAGAATTGGGAGTAGTTTATATATTCAAAAATTAAATCAAAAGTTATTTTAAATAAGATGTGACAAGACTATTTTATTAAATTAATACCAATGGATTAAAAAAGAGAATAAAATTTAACTAAATAAATAGTAAGCACATAATTTAATTTGAGAGATATGTGAATGTGTAGATCAAATCTTCATCTTGATTTCCATTGGTAGGTTCTATCACCACCCATTTCTACTTGTCAGCCCACCCAATGCCCAATCACTAATTTGTCCCACTCTCATTTATTGGGCCTCTCAAGGCACGGTACTAGGGGTGGACACGGTACCGGTACGGTACCGTGACCGGAAACGGTACCGCCGGTACCGGTACCGTTACTGTCGGTCGGGACGGTCCACCGGTTCCGGGAACCGGTACCGGTACCGCCCACTCCGGTACCGGTACCGCCCACTCCGGTACCGGTTCCGCTGCCCATTTTTCGGTACCGGCACCGGCGGTACCGGTTCCGGTACCGTAATTAATTTTTTTTTGTTTTTATTTTTTATTTCATTCTTTCCTTTATTAATTTCATTTTTAGAGTTTTTTATTTCATCCTTTCTTTTAACAATTACACATTTACAATTCTACACTTTAAAAATTTAATAAAAAAGTAAAAAAAAAAGAAATTATGGGTGGCCGAAACGGTACCGGAACCGGCGGTACCGGAACCAGCGGTTCCGGAATCGGAACCGTACCGTGTCCACCCCTACACGGTACCCTCCATAAATTTGACCTACCCTACAATCTTAACGGGTTAATTCGACCTTATGGGCCTTTAAATGCATTTCCATTCTCTTTTTAGTGTGTCCAGGGTTGATCTCAATATGCTGATGGGCCACCAATTATCACTAACCAATGGGAAGGCAAAACAAGTGTGTTTTCTTTGTCTTAAAACTAAAGTTTTATAGTTGATCAACCACAATCATTAAAATATTTAAATTATATAATTCAATTTTTTTGATATACTGCGAAGCAGTGTGAATCGAATTATTTCCCTGCCAGTGAAGGTTTTAAAAAAGAGTTCCCTGTCAGCGCATCTAAAAAAATTTGATGATGAACAGTACTCATTTATGATTTACCTTTAAAATGTGGGCATTTCCCAATCAGTGCATAATTTCATACTCCCTCCGTCCCTAAATAAACTTCCCCTTTCGTTTTTTCTTTAAACATCACATCAAGAATATTTTTGGAAAGTCAACACAAAAATATCTCTTTCTTAAATCCTCAAAAAGTCAAAAAAGGAAGTTTATTTAGGGACGGAGGGAGTACTTCATTCCAAATTCATGAAACTCTTTACTCACATAAAGAGAGTGTGGGACCATATTTGATAAAGTGGAACTCCACCAATAATTTCACTCCTTAACTAACAAAAATTTAGCATTTTCTTTATATTTTAGTTAAATAACATTATCAATTTTTTATATTATTTATATTTAATTACTGTAGATTAAAATTATGTTTTTCATTTGATTTATTATTTTTATAATAATAGATAATTTATTAATGGAAAAATAGATAAATAAAATACAAATATTACAACATTATTTTTGTTTTGAAACAAAATAATTCTACATCAGTCCCAAAAAGATTTACACGTTTTGACTAAAGTTGAAATTCAGGGAGGGATAATTTTGTGTTGACTTTCTAAAAATACCCTTGATGTGATGAGTAAAAGTAGGATGTAATGTGTAGATTATTAGAAAAAAGTTAAAACTACTATTTATTTTCTTTATCATTAAATAAAACATACTATAATAGAATTTAAAAATAAAACTACTGTTTATTGACTTTAAGTAAACTTTATAAACATAAGTAAAAGAAGAAGAAGAAAAAATGCAATAAATTTATTGCTAGAGTACATATAATTTATTCCTAAAAAGAAGATTACAAAACACAATCCATGACAAATTTATTTTGTGAAATTTATAATACTAAAGATAATGGTTACCGGTAAATTGTTTACATACATTATCAAAATAAATAAGTAAATTTTACATACATAACCAAAATAAAATGTACTCCCTCCGTCCCTAAATAAACTTCCCTTTTTGACTTTTTGAGGATTTAAGAGAGGGATATTTTTGTGTTAACTTTCCAAAAATACCCTTGATGTGATATGTAAAAATAAGATGTGATATGTAGATTATTAGTAAAAAATGTATGATGTGATAGGTAGGGTATGAAAAAGTAAGGGGTAAAAAGAGTTTTATAAGGGAAAAGAGAAGTTTATTTGGGGACAAAGAAAAAACGAAAGGGGAAGTTTATTTAGGGACGGAGGGAGTATTAAATAAAAGGAAAATACTAAAGATAATGGCTACCGGTACCACATTTGTTACTTAGAAATTATTTATAATAAAATAATTTAATAATACATAAACTCAAACATAATTGAAATTCATGGGTGGTTAGGTGGGAGGACGAATAAATAGGTAGGTGGGAGTGGAAATGAGTGGTTAGGTGGGAGGGGGAATGCATAATGAAAATAAAAGATTTATTAATTCAAAACATTATAGACAGGTTGTTTGCAACAACTTATTCAACTTTTGCAACGGCATAATCAATTGCGTTAACTCTACTGCTAAAATAATTAAAACTAAAAAAGTAATTGAAACTAAGAATAAGAAATAAAAAATGGTTTAAAAACTTTTAAAAAACTAATTGAAACTAAAAAATATAGATGTAAAAAATTCTATTATAAAAAAATTTAAAAATACAATAAATTTATTGATAGAGCACATATAACAATTTATTCATAAAAATAAGATTACAAAACACAATCCATGATTAACTTATTTGTAAAATTTAATAATAATAAACTCAAACATAATTGAAATTCATGGGTGGTTAGGTGGGAGGGTGAAAATTGTCTATTTTTTACTCCGTAAAATAATTGAAACTCAAACATAATTGAGTTTAGTAATACATAAACTCAAACATAATTTATCTATTTTTTCATTAATAAATTGTCTATTATTATAAAAATAATAAATGAAATGAAAACACACACTACAAAAAAATTGACTTTTGTAACAAGGTAAATGTGACAGATTCTAGAATTTGCCACAAATACCCTGTTACAAAAGATATTTGTGGCAAAATTTGATGTAAGAAATGTATTTCTGGCCAAATTAGATGCCACAAAAATTCAATTTTTTGTAGTGATAATTTTAATCTACACTAATTAAAAAAAATACTCCCTCCGTCCCACAAAAAAGTTCACATTTTGACCATAAATTGGTCAAACAGTTACATGCTTTGACCACAAATTAAATATAATCTAAATAAAGAAATGTTAAAAAAATTTGAGATATCAAAACTAGATCATAAGATGAATCCAATTATATTAAATTTATTTTATAATTCAATATACCTTTCTCACAATTTGTAGTCAAAGCGTGTAAATATTTGACTAAATACTATTCAAAATGTGAACTTTTTTGTGGGACGGAGGGAGTACATAATATAGAAATTGATAATATTATTTAACTAAAATATTTAAAAAAATGGTAAATTTTTGTTAATTAATAGAGTCAAAAAGTAGATGGAGTTCCATTTCATCATGTCATTCCGGCCCCACCTCCCATTATGTCAGTAGGAGTTTCACTAATTGGGAATGAGATTCAAATTCTACCTGGATTGGGAAATCCCCCATTAGTTCTATCACTAGTCACTTTTTCTTAAAAATTAAAGGGTGTTTTCTTTATCCTAAAATAGAGCTTTTCACACCTTTCTTGGTTTGAATGCGAAGAACTGCATTTTTCTTGACTAATAGAAAAGTTTACTCAGATTTCATCGGAGAATATGTATTAAAAAACGACAAATTATAAGTTTGTAATTATTGATATGATCCTAATCAAGCACGCGTAGTTATATTTACTCCCCTCTCCCATTACTAATGAATGTCTCGTTGTAGATAAAGGGGATTGGTAGGAGGTTGTGCAAAGTGCCCAACCACACACGGACCCTACAATTTTGGAGTCGCATATTAATAAATTCATCAATAAATTTTAAAGTATAAGTATTCTAAAATAATAAAGTAGGGTCCAAAATATAAATTTTGGACCGGACCAATTTCATTTCTTCATTTTTCGAGGCCGGCCTTGGGTTTGAACTCATTTTCTATTCATTTTATTTTGGTATCGGCATAGAATTTTAATACTCTGTATAAAATTTGTTTATTTA